CTAAGATATGTCCATAAGAGTTTGAATAGTTTGATTTGTTATAAATTTACATTGTATTCTGATCATATATAGCGCACATTCTCTTATAGCGTTTGCTCGCGAATGGAATTTATTTCCAAATTGACTCCCATAAAATTTCTGATTTAGTCATGAATGTCCTTGAAGCATTTCCTGATATGTGAAGTCTAATTTGGTTGTAACCAGTATACAAAATGGATGGCTAGCTTTACCATTGTCTTATGTTAAAGATTCTAGTTCGTCAAAATATTGATCAGAGAATTTATATTCTCTCTTCCTCAGAAAAGATTTTTCCTGATACCATGTTCTAAATGGTATATTTATCTAACACTATGAATGACGATATTATTCGTCTCTCTAAGGGCAGTATTAAGTCCTGTAGATCATTTTAAAACTGCATTTTCAGAGTGCGGGTCGGGCAGATCTTAAACTCTTGGTTTTCTGCTAACCGGATGAAATATTCTATTAGCGATTTAAGAGTTAATCCTGCATTTGTTAATTCCGGTTTCATCTGAATTTTGATGTTTTTATTTTCATCTCCGTATAGTAGAAGGGATGGGAAATACCGAGGAAGATGATGTAGAATCTTCTAGGATTTAACATCTGACTTCACATCTCCGTCATGATGTTTGAATTATTTGATCATTCCCTTGATTAATATGCTTTAGGTGTATTACTGAGGGCAATAACCCATTGTTCTGGGAAACCGTTATTTGTCATTCCAACTATTACTCTTTTGTAGCTTGTTTGAGCTAATAGAATTTGGTTTTCTATTAATGGATAGTCTACTATTTGGGGCTGAACTTACTCTTTTACTTTAGGACTTAATGGTATTCATACTTTGAAATGATTTCCGAAAGGCATAATGCTATTTTGTTTCGGGAGTCCTGGACAGGAAATTTATCCATGAAGTGAAGATGAAGCTTAATGGCTGTCAAATAGATGTTAATTCTGTTAAGGATAAAGCTGAAATTTAGGAATATTAAAGTAAACCGGTTCCATGACCAAGGACTGGTTTCCATTACTCCCATGAGTATTGTTGCCAATATTAGCCCACCGGCCGTCCTCTAAGACAAGTCAAGATGGATGCATTTAGGCCCTCTTATGTTAGAGGTTTGAAGCCGATTGGACTTAATCTAATATTGTATGATATTTATAATCTTGCAATTAGATTTTATAAGTATCTTCATATGCTACAGAGAGATTGTTTTCTCTGTTGATCGGATTGTTTATAAACGAGGCATACTACCGTTTTTAATTGGCAGATTTACCTTTGAAATCCACAAGGTTCCCTATTTGATATTAATGGTTTTATCAACCTTAGGATATAGACCATTTATTTAGGTCTTCTTCGTTAATGGATATTCTATTAAGCTCAGCATTTTTTATATCTTGGGTCTTGATGATATTTATCCTTGCTTAGGATAGATGAGGTAGATTGAGCAGCTGAAGCCATATGATACCTTCCTATTGATATTTTTATAAGTCAACGAATTAATAGGGCGAAACCCGGTAGAAAGGGTCTTAAGTATAAAGTAGGAAGTGGTAGCAGGAGGCCGCCGAGTATCTGACAATAGAACCATCCAAGGGTGACTAACAAGCCCGAGATCAATGGGACTTTACTGCAAGTTTCAATACCTGATAACTCGACTAAGCAGACTAAACCATTAATACTACTACCATTCCTCACCGCTCGCCGATAAAAGAAGGAGACGTATCAAAAATATGAAGACAGGGGCACGTGACACTACTCATCTTTCATGGCCTCTGATACCAAATTTAAAGCTATTATACACTATTATGTATACAGTTCAGTATACATTCGCTATGGTACAAGCAAGCTACGATCACTATGTTTCAAGTTATAAATATATTATTAGATGTTATGCTACAAGCTATACACCGAATCTATTGTATTCATTTTACTTACATTCTTCATGGATATAGCGATTATACCACACTATTACAAGGGCATTATACACACTATGGTACCAAATTTTTTTCAAATATTATACACACGCTAAGTACATGCATTTATACAGACTATGTACAAGTTCCGTATTAACCAATTGACGGTATGCTATAACTGGCTTATTATAAACTGTAGTAAATCAATCCATTTTACTGCGCATAAGCATTATTGTCTAGTTTTAGTAAATGGCTATTGTATTAAAGGATTATTACACCGACCAATCGATAAGATCTTACACCATGCGTATATTTATAATTTTACACACTATGTGCAAGGTATATACCATGCTATATATAGGCTGTATACATATTATGTGTAGATTAACTAAACATTATGATACATAATTATTTATTACACTATATGCAAGTTGTAATACATGTACAAGTATTATAACATGTTATGGAAGAGCTCATTATAACCTACCTAGTTATAAAATTTATATAATATTGTACAGTATTATATACTATGTATAATACTATTATAAACATATGGTATAACGAATATAATCACCGGTTATGTTCAAAGATTATACACACTATGTACACACTACTATCACCCGGGTATTTGTACACACTCATATACGATTAATTTTAAATGCATTTATATATAAGTTGCTATTTACAAGCATTCTACACTACGTTCAAGGCCTATATATAAGTATGTATACACACTATGATATACAAGTCATTAATGCATACTATGTAGAAGTTTATGTAAGCTACTCTAATAAATACACCTATTCCACACTATGTATCAAGGCTTTACTATACTGTCTACGTACCAGCATTATACATATAGTATAGGTTGTAGTAACTATATACAAATTATAAATACATAATGTACAAGTTTTATACATAATATGGTATAAGTTGATATGCAAATACAAGAATTATACACCACTATGTACATGATTTATACCACAGATAGTATGAGCAAAGTGATTCTTTTACGCGGCACTATTAAATAAGAGATTACACACACTATGTTATACAGGTATGACGCTATATATTAAGCATTACACTAACTATATACTGTAAGGTAAAGTATTATACACACTACTATATAAGTTATATACTAACTACTGATGTGAGCCAAAACTAAGTTTCTGGTTTTCAGAGGTGATACCCTCGGACTTAGACAATATTGACAAAAAATTAGATTTATTGCAAAATAAAATCGATCAGGTTCAAACTACTATTGATCAAAAACTACTATTGGTAAAACCAACAGATCAAGTACACTCGGGAATGATTATTACTAAACCCATAGTAAAACTTCCCCCACAAATAAAAATTAAATTCGATGAAGACCTTAACATGTCTGAGGTAATTAAACAAATTAAGACCCAAAAAATTACTACATTAGATGAAATATCATCAGTATCATCAGAAAATGAAGAAACAAATAGTAGTACCAGTGAATACAATATTGATCAATTAGAAGATCAATTTAAA